ACACTTGCAGGTCTCACCCCCCGCGGGACACCCAGCCAGCCTGTGACAAGTGCAGTCAGGTGTTGGTGAAGGGCACTGAGGTTGGAAGAACTCACCATTCAAAGGCACTTTGTCATTGTGGGGATCCCCTTTTACAGCTCCGTGCATTAGGACATTGAGTGCTTCTAGCTAAGGTCCGAGATGGTTACACTCGTCAGAAACATAAGGATGTCTCTGGCTGGATGTCTGCCCTCCCCACCATCTCTGTCTCTCTATATCTGTCTTGGTCTCTAACTTTTTACATATCCTACAAAAGTTAATGACCCCTGCCACTGTAATCCTAAAGTTGCAGAAAAGTCACTATCTTAGCGGATTTTCCTTTTCCCCACAGTTTTTAGTCTTTTTGAGACAGGGTCTCACTATACAGTTCGGGCTGGTCCTGAACTCACTTTGTAGCCCAGGCTGGCCTCAAACTCACAATGATTCTCCTGCCTCAACCTCCCGAGTGCTGGGATTACAGGTGTGCACCACCACACCCAGCTTCCCCACAGTTTGCAGATATGCATTAAGGCCACCATTTGTAATTTCTAAAATTTCAGAATCAGGGTTCAGGCGGGGCATGGTAATGCACAACTGTAACTGTAGCACTTGGGAGGCTGAGGCAGGAGGATCTTTGTGAGTTCAAGGCCAGCCTGGGCTACAGAGTGAGCTCAAGGCCAGCCTGAACTGCATAGCAAGACCCTGTCTCAAAAAGATAAAAAAAAAAAAAAAAAAATCAGGATTCAAATTGACTATCAAAGGTTAGTAAAATGCAAAAACGCAAAACTACAGCAGAGGACGAGGAGGCTACTATCTCTAGATTCCTGGTGCTGGGGGTTTCTTATGCTTTGTGGCAGGTTGATTTTGGACAGGTTCTGAGTTGTTCAGAACTAAGCAGACAGAGTGTACTCACAAGACCAACGGGAGAGGTAATCTTCTGTCTTACCCAGCACCGACGAAACCACTGTCGGTATATTATATATATTTCCAGGTTCCAGGTTTATAAATAAGATTAAAAATTTAGTCTGAAGGGAACAACTGGAATATCTAAAAAGGGCTGAGGAAAAAGCTGCAGAGTTAGTGCTGCTCAGCCTCAAAACACAGAAGATGAAAGGTGCTGAATAGCAGCCTGAAGCCTGTGAGATGAGTGAGGCCGGCAGCTAATCGCCCCTTCCAAGGAAGAGAAAATCAGAGGAAATGAATTTAAATTGCAACAAGATCAATTTATTACTTGGATCTACTTTTAGGTTTTATAAAAAGCCTTTAATCTAAAGGAATCAAGGTGCTTGTGTTAGACAAGAAGGGATCTTGGGGAAATGAAAGTTGCTGTTCTCACAATGTTTTAAAATGCAATCTGGGTGGGGCTGGGGATTTAGCTCAGCGGCACAGCACCTGCCTGGCAAGCGCAAGGTTGTGAGTTTGATTTCCAGTACCGGAAAAAAGAACAATCAATCAATAAATAAAATGCAATCCGGGGGCTGAGGATTTAGCTCAACGGCACAGCACCTGCTTGGCAAGTGCAAGGTAGTGAGTTCGATTCCTGGTACCAGGAAAAAAAAAACTAAACTAAAATGCAATCTGGCAAAGGGGTGCAAACCTCCAGAGATGGTGGTCTCGGAGGCCTCTGCCTGAAGGAGGGGAGCAGGAATCACAATGTGGACTCCATAACAACTTCTCTGCTTGGCAAACAAATACTCAGCTAGAAGTGACCCTCGGGTGCAGAGCAAGCATTTAGTGGTGCTCAGAGGCCCTTCAAAGTGACCCATAATGACATGTCAAGCTCTCTTTGGAGACAGTACAGGTCATAGCTTTGACTCGTTGGTCATTCTGAGGGCAGAACAACCATACAAAGGGCAAAGGAAAGCATTATTTCTGTGAAAGTCACGGTCGTAAGATCTTCAGTAGAGGCCGAAGGAACCCAATGCTTTGGCCCAAGAAGCCACAAAAGAAAGAACATTCCTTCTTCATGGCTTTGCAGAGTTTAAGAGGCCAGCTCAAGATAGGGAGAAATCACCAAAGGGATTCTGGAAGAATTGGCTGGTCCGAGGGCTTCAGCCTCAGTCACCTCAGGGAAGGTCAAAATGGCCGCCCTTGCTATGAACCTGGCTCATCCTGAGGATAGCCAAGAAGAAGTTGCGTTTTACAGCTCCCACCCTGATATCTGGGCTATTAGTCTTTTCAGCACCTCTCTGTGCTGCTGTAATTAATCAAACAAAATAAAGGGAATTGTTTTTGTTTTAACTTGTAGCCAAGGGATGGGGTTTGTATACTTATTTTATAAATAGCAACTTAAGAGAAATATTTGGAAACGGTACCCAGCTTTATTTCTAGGGCAAGAGGAGTCCAGATATAGCAGAGGCAGGAGAGAGCAATAACTTGAAAGAAAAATCAAATTTGTGGGAACTACAAGAGCAAAAATAGAACCAAGAAGTGGCCTGGGGATTCAGCCTGCTGGAAGCCTAACGTCCCCAACCAGAAGTTCTTAGATCATGACAGACAAAGTGGGAAGATCTGAAATTCCCTCCTGCGGTGATTTTTATAAATAGCATGGTGTCTCCCAAACTTCGAGCAGCAACCCGTCACTGTCAAAATTTCAGCCTCTCCGTGTACCACTTACTAGCTCTCTATGAGTCAACTGGTTTTTTAAACTTAAATTAGGAAAAAATTTTACATCACTACCACGAGTGAAGAAAAAAATATCACATCCTCTGCCTCAACTCCACAAGAGCTTTCTAGTTCACTCAGAGAGAAGGACAGAGCATCCTCCGTGGTCTGGGCTCTTATGGCTGGTGCCCACCACCACTCTCTCCTGGCCTCCTCCCCTCTCCCACTGGCAGCCTCCTCCCCTGCCCTGACCTCCTGCTGGCCTCCCAAGCAGGTTTCCACATAGGATCCTTGCCCTGGCTTCCCTGGGACCCCAAGAGCTTTTCCTCCACGTGCACACGTGACAAATCCCTCATCTCAAGCCTTTCTTCAAGTGCCGCCTCCTCAGCATGGCAGACGCCCCCCACCTCACTTCACAGTGCAGCACCCCCCCCACTCAAGCCCCCTTCTAAGGCTCTCCTTCTTTTCTCTTCTCTTAGCACACGCCTCCCTCTGACATAATGTTTTCTCGTAACATGGGGCTTGTGGTTTATTTTCAGTCTTCCTCAGCTATCAGCTAAACTCCACATGGGCAAGGACTGGTGTGTGATATGTTCACAGGTGCAGGCCAAGACACAGTGTACAGCAGTGCACAATAGATATTCAATGGGTATTTTTACTTAATGAACAAAAATGAAAGACAAAGGCCAAACAGACCATAAGAAGAAACTTGGAAGATCATCAGGAGTCAAAGGCAATTGAAAGACTTCTCACCATGGGACTCAAAATTATTTAAAATTCGGCCGAGTGTGGTGGCACACACCTGTAATCCCACCACTGGGGAGACTGAGGCAGGAGGATTGTTCCGAGTTCAAAACCAGCCTGGGCTACAAAGTGAGCTCAAGGCCAGCCTGAACGGCAGAGCGAGACCCTGCCTCAAAAAAGACCAAAAAAAAAAAAAAATCCAGGCTCCACAGTCTTAAGATTACCTCATGAACTACCAGTGGTATTCACTCTACATGTCCAAGCCCAGGGAAAAGTTGCAAAACCCTCCTGGGAACCAGTGAGCAAGCAAGAGATATGGCGTCAGCTCAAAGCCATGACTTGGCAAAACTAAAGTCAAGAGGTTAAAAAAAAAAAAAAAGCATTGTCCAATAATCATTAAGCAAACAAAATCTCATAGTCCAAATTTTCCCACAAGAAAAACATCAGATCCAGATAGTCTGAAGCCAAGTTTTACACAAATTTGAAGGAACACACTCTTTCAACCTAATTCAAATTATCTGAGAAAATAGAACAGGATGACTCTTCCACCTCATTTGACATTAGTATCATCTTGACACCAAAATGGGACAAGGACCGAACAAGAGAAGTAAACTACAGGCCAACCTCACACATGGATGTAAAGGAAAAGTCTCAAAATAGTAACAAAAGGACCCATTGAGGTACAAATGGTGATACACGCGATGTTTTTTAAAGTACTTAATCTGGAGGAAAAAAATATATAGGGGATCTAGCACCTTGCAGCAGGCAAACCCATGGTGTTTATGGCAGATCATTCTCTATAGGTCTAAAAAAGCAAGAGCACAAGATGATTCAAGACACTGCAGATCAGCTGGGCATGGTGGCACACACCTGTAATCCCAGCACTCCGGCGGCTGAGGCAGGAGGACCATTGCAAGTTCAAGACCAGCCTGGGCTACAAAGTGAGCTCAAGGCCAGGCTGAACTGCATAGCGAGACCCTGTCTCAGAAAGACAAAAACAAAACAAAACAAAACACTGCAGATCATGAGACCTGGAAAGATTCCTCATTCATCCATGTTTCCAATTGTGGCAAATGATTTGAAGAGAAATGTGGAGGGAGCATGTTGACCACCTTTGCCTTGAAGTAACAGGGAAAAATAAAGACAGAAAAGATTTTTTAAAACTATAGAATCATTCAGTCCACTTGCTCCTCCTGCACGCTCATGGTGCCGGAGGGGTCTCTCTGCCCAAACTGCCCTGCTTGAGAGATGAAGAGGCTTCTGCTAAGATCTCAGCCTTTTCAGTAAATATACCTGCTGAGCCTGCGGTAAAGCTGGGAGGAGACTCCACACAATGGGGGCTTCCAGCTTCATGGGCTATGAGCAGGTCTTGGCTGGGAAGTGACTAGTTATGGCTGGATATGGCCAAGGACCTTAGGGCCTTCCTAGAACTCTTCCCTCTTTCCCTAGAAACTGTGGGGGCAGGAGATATAGCTCAGCGGCACAAGCACCTGCCTGGCAAGTGTAAGGTCCTGAGTTCGATTCCCGTATCCCCCCCCCCACAAAAAAAAAAAACAAAGAAAGAAAGAAGGGAAGAAAGAAATTGTGCATCTGTGGCACACAGAGATTCACAGGGTGGGAAGCTCACTACTTACTGAGCGCGAAACACCCTCTCAAACTCCAAAGACCCAGTGACGGCCGGGGGTATCACCTTGCATTTTAATCTTGCCCTTCCAACCTGCGACGCAAAATAACCTGCAAGGAAAGGGAATGTTGTGGTAAAAATGTGGCGCATCATTAGCCATCAGTGAAGTGCAGATTTAAACCCAGGCATACCAAGAAGAAGACAAGCGCTCTGGTGAGGATGCGACGGCAACTCTCGTGTACGGCTGATGGGAATGTAAAATGGTACAACCACTTTGAAAAACCGTATGGAAGGGACTTTTTCACTACACATCCATCAGCCGTATAACTCAGTCGCTCTGCCCATAAGTAATTACCCAAAAGGAATGAAATTACATGTCTGTAGAAAGGCCTGTACACAAGTGTTCACAGTAGCTTTATTACCGTAGCCCAAAACTAGAAACAACTTTATGATGGTTAAGTTTATGTGTTAGCCAGGTGTGGCGGCACACACCTGTAATCCTAGCACTTGGGAGGCTGAGGCAGGAGGATCACTGTGAGTTCGAGACCAGCCTGGGCTACAAAGTGAGCTCAAGGCCAGCCTGAACTGCATAATGAGACCCTGTGTCAAAAAGACAAAAAAAAAAAAAAAGTTTATGTGTTAACTTGTCCGGACTACAGTGCTGTCTAGTCAAACACCAGTCTAGGTGTTGCTGCAAAGGTATTTTTTCAGATGCGATTAATTTCTAAACAAGTAGATCACCCTCCATAATGTGGGTGGGCCTCGTCCCATCAATTGAAGGTTTTAAGAGACAAAACTAAAGTTCCCCAAGAAGGAAAGAATTCTGCTTCCAACTGCCTTCAACTAAGGACTGCAATATCAATTTTTGTCACAATTTCCAGCCTACCAGCCTGTCCTACAGATTTCACATTTGCCAGCCCCACCACATGAGCCAATGCGTGTGTGTGTGTGTGTGTGTGTGTGTGTGTGTGTGTGTACATAGCCTACTGCTTCTATTTTCCTGGTAAACACTGACTGATATGGCTAAGCATCAATAAGTGTGTGGATACAATTGTGAGGCATTCATGTGTTATGCTTGATATACTGTGTCAACTTGAGGAGTCTAGAGGTTTGGCTAAGTGACTCAGCAGGGAGCCAGGGTGCTTACTTTGTATTCATCCTGAGCCCATGCAAGAGGAAGGCCAGCAGAGGGTGTGGGTGTAGAGGACCACCCCTAGACCCCCAGAGTGGGTAGGCTGCATAAAAAAGGGGGATTGAGAAAGGACTGGCTGCTGGTTCTTCCGAGGAGCTCCAGTCTTCGCCTTCAGCTTGGTCCTCTGCTGCCTTCTGGTGCAGACGGTTCGGCTTCTACTTGGGACTCTTCAGCCTTCTGATGTAGGCTCTCTGGCCCTCACCGTAGATTATTCAACATTCTGTCCAAGACCCATCAGCCTCCTGATACAGACTTGTACGGACACTGCCATGAGCTCCAGGCTTAGGGCTAGGCTCTTCAATCTCCAGGGTGCACACACCCTCTGCACGCTTCCTCACCCAACTCTGTGGCTGACCATGCTAAGCCAAACTTGTAATTTCCTGTACATTTATATATCTTGTGTTATGTCTGTTTTTCTAGTAAACCCTGACTGATACATCATGCAATGGGATACTTCTCAAAATTAGAAGGGCGTTGAACTACTGATACCCAAAACAACATGAATGAATGAATCAAAAAGATTATGAGAATGAAACCCAGGACAAAAGACTACTACGGTGTAATGTCACACAATCTCAAAAATGTAAACCAGTAAAGCAGCTCAGTGGTTCCCCGGAGAGGAGGAGGTGGGGCCGGGAGACAGGCAAACAGGAAGACCTTGGGGGACAGGGGCCCCTGCCTGACTCAGCTTCCCTGTTATTAAATGGTCTGACTTTCTTCTCCTTTGGTTGCTGTGCGGAAATTTTGATAGATTATCAACCTTCAAAGCCTGGGGTCATCTACATTTTGTAGTTCGATCTAAGGACTTCTTTCGCATTCCCACCCACCCTTTCTCCTTTGGCAGTTTCCAAATCTTCCACCATTCTCACTTCTTGTTTTTTTTTTTTTTTTTTTTTGGTACCAGGATTCAAACTCATGGCCTTGCGCTTGCCAGGCAGGCACTGTGCCACTGAGCTACATCCCCCACTCACTTCCTGTCTTTACCCACTTTTCACACCATAATGAACTCCTGGGGTCTATCATTTCCCTTCATATTACTTCACCCAGTTTCTCATCCTTACCAATTCTCTCCAACACTATTTTTCTATCTCATTTTAGTGTCTCAATATCTATTTCCTACTTGCTAGTGCTTTAAAAAGTTTCTTCCCAGCACTCTAGGGGGCTGAGGCAGGAGGACTGCAAGTTCAAGCCCCGCCTGGGCAATTTAGGGAAACCCAATGTCCAAAAAAAAGGAGTTTCCTCTTAAAGTTCCAGCAAGGGCAGTGGACAGAGCGCAGTGGTTGAGCACTTGCCTAGCATGCCTGAAGCCCCAGCGCTGCACAAACAAAGAGAAAAAAAAGAAAAACTGTGCACCAATTGCAGCTGCGGTTTCTTCCTGGGTTGGAGTCTCAGGATAGATGTGTTTCCTACTGCAATAGGGCGCTCTGCCTCCACGGCAAGTCAGCGCTGACTGGTTAAGTAGGAGCTCCCTCGCACATGGCCCCTTCCACTACGAAGATGCTGCTGGTCGGCGTCCCAGCCCTCTGGCTGAACACCGAAGCGTGCAATCGCTTAGGACGGGGACCTCTCCTCACTGCACACGGGAGAGCAGCAGAAGGACCAGGCAGTCGGGGGAGCTGTTTTCCCCCAGCAATGTCCCTTTGGGGCCAAGGCCGATAGCCCAGGCCCAGCTGGAAACAAGAACAGGAACCATTATCGGACACTGGGCCTTGACCCCTACAACCTGCTGACCCTGTTCCTTCCTGGCCAGGCCTCTCCTTCCCCTGCAGCAGGGAAACAACTGCGCGCTCCTAGGTCGATCAATAGGCAGCGGCGCAGGACTGGCCGGGGGCCTCAGAACCAAGCTGTGCAAGGGAAAAGCTCCGAAAGCGCTGTCTTTCTTTCCCCGGCTGGTGAACTGGGCCCCTGGGAGGCACCTGTCTGCCGCACCCGCAGAGATGAGGAAGGAGCAAGGCATACCGGTCTCACCACCCCTGGAAACGACTGCAGCGGCCGCCGCCCGAGCAGACAGGGGTGAAAGGGCCTTCCACCCGCTCAACTTCCAGCGCTGAGCGGAGAGAAGCAATTTCACCTGTTTTTCTGGAAAGCTTCCATTTCCTTTCCTTTCTAAACCACTTCAGAATCATCACCTTTTGCTCTTCCGGTCCCTCCTCTTTCGCCACTTCTCCGGGGGCGCCTGGGAGGCAGTGGTGCCCGCCTGCCCGCCCGGCCACAGCCGGTTCCTTCCGGGGCAGCTGCACCTGCACCCCGCAGCTCCCTCCGGCGGACACTTCTTGCCCAGCGTCCTGCTGACCAGCGCCTGCGATTGGCCGCAGACAGGAAGAAGTCTGGCTTCCAACCTGAGCCGCCCTACCACGGCACACGGTGTCCCGGCTCCAGAGAAAGTGCAAATGCTGGTTCTCCGTGCCACCATTAAAGATCCCCTGTCCGCCATGAGCCGTCCCCGCCCCGTATCCCCTCCACTCTTCCACCCCCACCGTCCTCCCCCTCAAGCCTCTGACCCCCTCCACACCTTTCCCTGCACCCGCACCCGCCAGCAAGCAGGAGCCCCTGGGAGGGGATTGAGCTTCCCAGGCGTCCCCTGGCCTCCGGATGAGGGTGCCTATGTGTGGGCTCCGCAGCGCTCACTGGCGGGGATGGGAATGCGTGGCTTTAGACGCAGTACTCCTTTAGTTGGTAACAGACATCACACTGACCAACCCAGACTATTGTGAGTGGAACTGCGAGATGTCACACACTCACAAAACAGACGGGCAGGACGAGACGCTGGATATGCGGAGGCCTAGACTTGCCGCTCATGGCTGCGGCGTGACCTGCGCAGGGCAGCGCTCGGCAGCGCTCGGCCTGCTTCCTGGCTCAGGCACCCGTGGAAAAGTACACAAGTGAGGATCCGGATCAGGACCAGGAGCCCGGGCGCCCCTTCCCCCCTGCTCTGCAGCGAGGTGCACTGCATCGAGCAAATGTGGGGAAGAAGCCCTGGGTTTAACCATGCAGGCGAGCCGGGCGTGGTGGCGCACGCCTGTAACCCCAGCACTTGGGAGGCTGAGGCAGGAGGATCATTGCGAGTTAGAGGCCAGCCTGGGCTACAAAGTGAGCACAAGGCCAGTCTGAACTGCAGAGTGAGACCCTGTCTCACAAAGACAAAACAAAACAAAACAAAAAACATGCAGGCCAGACACTGAGCAAGCCTAGTGGAAAGGCATTTTTAATATTTAGAATTAATTGCTTCATCTAAAGCTCCCATTTCTGCTAGAGATTTGTTTTAACTTATCAGACCTGCCATAGGCAGTTTATTTAAAAAAACACATTAATTAGAAGATCAGGTTCCAAGAATCCATCCCTGCTTGGGCTCCGAAGCCAGAACAGCTCCACTCTGGAACCCTCGTGTTTAAAGTTGATGCCCCGCTCCTCAAGAGCAACTTCCCCTGCGCCAGTGTCCCCGTGAACCGGCTGTGGGCCATCTCCGTGGATGACACCAAGTCACCGAGCTCTGAGGGTCCCCAGACGTCCCTGCTGGGAGAACTAATCTCTGGAATGCACCTATCTCTGGCTGTCTCCGGGAGGGGCCATCAGGTGACCCTGGCTGGGACCCTGGTAAGGGCAAGGAGAAACCTAGACAAAGAACAGAGCTCCCCACTCCACTCCCCTCCTGTCTCTCTCTGTGTCTGTCTGTCTGTCTGTCTGTCTCTCTCTCTCTCTCTCTCACACACACACACACACACACACACACACACACTGCACCCATGCGTACCTTGCTGACAAGCAGAGAGGATGGAGACAGCAGCCAGCAGCACTGCGTCGCCTGCCATCGCTCCCACCGAGGCCGGGCACAGGAAACCAGGGAACTATTTGTAGGAAGTGAGTAGAAAGCTGGAGGCGCTGAGGGCTTTGCGCAGCCGGCCTCCCTTCCTTATACGGGAACTAAAAGGGGCGGGTTCAAGTTGCCAAGTAACCTTTGCACCGGAGCTGAAAGCCGGAGAGCTGGCAGGCGTATGGGTCCTGGTCACACATCCCGTCTCCTCCCAGCCCTGACCTGGCCCTCAGCGTCTCTCGAGAGCACTGCGGAGGGCAGGATGAGTCCTCCCGCAGCAGGGCCTCAGCTAGGCTGTCTTCCCTGCCTGCTCTCCAAGGCTCCAGAGCCCTGCATCCCTGCCTCCCCCAGCTCCCAGCCAGGACTTGCTGAGCCCTTTCTCATCTCCCTTGAGAAAGTGGGAAGGAGATTTCCACATGGAGATTTTCAATGCTAATTAAACCTACTCTAACTTTATTCATCCACTAAGTGGCAGAGTCAGGATCTGAACCCAGGTCCAGCACATTCCAACTTCACCCTCTGCCCTGCCCAAGGCTACCTCCACACTCCCACCCCTACTCTCCCCAGTGTAGTAACCATACATTTCCTAAAAATTATAGGCTCCGTGTTCTGAGGAGGGAGAGGGCTCTCCAGGTCTCCAGGGCAGAGGCAGACCATATTCCTAGTTAGGCCTCCAGTGCAGAGCCAGCACACACACACACACACACACACACACAGCCAGGCCTCTCTGCCGTCAGAACACCCCACACACCACCTCAGGGACACAACCTCACAGCTGAGGCTCCTTCTGCAGAGCCCAGTGATCATAGCCCCCTCCTCTCTCTCACGACAGTTGTTTTGTCCTTTAAAGATTCACTTCCTAGCTGGACAAGATTAGATAACCATGCCGATAATGCTAACACTCTGGGAGGCTGAGGCAGGAGGATCACAAGTTCAAGCCCAACATGGGCAACTCAGCAACTTAGCAAGACCTTGACTCAAAATAAAAAGTAAAGGGCTGGGGGATGTAGCTCAGTGCAAAGAGCTGGCTTTAATCACCAGCCCAGGACACAGCCAGAGGCCCCCTGCAAACCCAGGCAAGGGCCCTCAGCAGGCCCCTGGTCACTTCTCAGAGGGTGCTAATCCCATCACAGGGACTGCACCCTCATTACCGCACCTCGTCCTAGTCACCTCTCCATGCCCACCTGTTAAACACACCATCACAGCAGGGCCTCCACAGGTGAACTCAGTACACAACAGGGAGCTCCCAGTGGCTAGGAAGACCGCATGCCTCAGCCTCATCCCTGATGTTTAACAGTGACATGAACTTGGGCAAGACTCTGAGCTTCTCTGCTCCTTGGTGGGGCTTAAGATGGAGCTAAAAAGTTTAAGTGAAAACTCCTCTTCTAAAAGGGTGAATTTAGGTTGGGTGTGATGGCACATTCCTGTAATCCCAGCACTTGGGAGGCTAAGGCAGGAGGATGACAAGTTCAAGGCCACCTGCACAGCTTAGTGGCCTAGCAAGACCCTGTCTCAAAATTGTAAAAATTAGAAAGAGCAGCAAGGAGCGCCAGCCTTCAGGCCAGCCCCCAGCCTCTCAGGCACCCAGGAGGAGGGCCCCTGGTGTGTGGGAAGCTGCACAGCAGCGCACCAGCCCTCAGACCAGCCACCGCTGCGCAATTGAGAACTATCATAGCACAGAGAAACAATGACACAATTGGCCCACCATGCACCAGCTGTGGAGGCCCACTTACAGACATGCATGAATCATTCAAACATGGAGGAACCTCTGGGAATACATGCCACACAATGGGTCAGTCTTGCTCCTGCTGTTGAGAACCAGAAAGGTCCAGAGTCAGCGGAGGAGCAGCTGCTGAACAAGGACTTGGAGAACATGAGAATACAGACTAAGCCCGAAGAGTCAGAAGTCTAGTGGACCGGCATCATGAGAGCCATTCAGAAGCTGTAAATCAGGAGGACCTTGCGCAATACCTGGGGAGACCCCCTGGAAGCCATTTTCCACCTGACAGTACAGGCTGCGGTGGAGGAGCACATGGAGCTCCAGAGAGGTCTGCAGCAAGATTCCTGCTGCCTGTGCTGACGGTTGGTGAGAGGACACTAACTGGTTGTGGGGTCCCAATGCAATGGGAGGCTGGAGAGAAAAAGCTACAAAAAATGGCTTTCACCCCAGATGGCTCACTTGAGATGTTAGTAAGAATTGCCTCCTCAATATTCTATAGCTGTGATGAGGAGGAGGCCAAGGAGAGAAAACAAAGAGACTGAGAAAAAGCAGCTGCTTTTGCTGCAGCACTAAGAGAAAGAGACCCTAAGTCTGATTCCTGGGGCCCCAAGAAGAACTTGATGACTGCATTCATCTGCTACCACTGTTAAAAGCCAGGCCACCTCAAGAGGAACTACCCTAAGAGGCCCCCTGGGCCATGCCCTGAATGCAAAGGTGACCACTGGAGATC